CTAAAGATTAAAAAAAAATCTACATTACATGTCAAAGGCCTAAAACTACTTTCTCAAATGTGTGGGAGACAAATTTGCTATTCAGTGCCCAATGTTTGTTGTAAAATCCAATGTGACAATCTGGAGCTCTAATAGATATATATCTGAGGAACTATTCTTGAAAAGGTACCAGTTCCAGTATTAGAGAGATGCTGCATTGCAACATGATTGGAGCAGAGTCTCTGTGATCTCCTGTGGCATGTCCTGTATATTCCTTTGATTTGTTTTAGGTTAGCCATCAATATCTCCAGGGCCGGATTAACTCTCCTGTGGGCCCGGAGCTATTAGATTTTTGTGGGGACCCTGTATAGAAGTCTTTTTCCTGGGAGGGAGTTTGGTGCAGGAGGGGGTGCGAGATGTAGGCTGTGGCTGGGAGGTGCTTACCACAGGTGGCTGGCGGTGCAGCAGGGCCCAGGCAGGCTGGCTGCCTGCTTGCCATAGCCCCACGCTGCTCCTGGAAGCGTCTGGCACCTAGCATGTCTCTGCAGCCTTGGGGGCAGGAGGACAGCGTGTTTCAGTGCACTGCCTGTGCCCACAAGTGCTGCCCCCATAGCTCCCATTGGTGGGTTTCTGGCCAATGGGAGCCGTGAGGATGGTTCTGGGGGTGGGGGCAGGGGCAGCATGCGGAGTCGCCTCCCCCGCTGCCAGAGACGTACGAGCAGCCAGCCTTTTCGGGAGCAGTGTGGGGCTATGGCAGGCAGGCAGCCTGCCTGAGTGCCCTGCTGCGCCATGGGACTTTTAGCGGCCCAGAGTTGGAGACCACTGCCTATGATTTATTTTTGCGGGGGCCCCCTTGAGCTGGGGCCCGGGGCTGCAGCCTCTAAAGCCCTGCATAAATTCGGCCCTCAATACGTCTTTCAAAACTAGTAGCTGTTATCTTTTTTTTGTTACAGTGTATGAATGAACTTGACGGTAGTTACTAGACTGGTGGATGTTTAGAAACTTTGGAGGGCAAGTCACAGGAGCCTGTCATTTAACTGGTGATATGCAGGGGCGGCTCTACCAATTTTGCCGCCCCAAGCAGTTGCCGCCGAATTGCCGCCGTGCCCAGAAGAGCGGCGGAGCTGCTGCCCAAAAGCCGCCGCCGCAGGAAGAGCGGTGGAGCTGCCGCCGAATTGCCACCACGGGACACGGACGGCCGCCCCGTTCTGAATGTCGCCCCAACCACCTGCTTAGAAAGCTGGTGCCTGGAGCCGGCCCTGGTGATATGCATAGTGTTACACTGCTGCACAATTCACCACACTCAGACATAAGGCCATGTATAAACACGACTGCTTTAAAAGTTCTGGACTTTAGAAGGGGTGAATGAAATTGTCAGGTTTTGATGGTAGAATCCCCCTTGGCTTGAGCATAAAGAGCCCCTCTTCTTTTAGCTTGATGAGTAGTGCACTCACTACAGAATCCAGGGACCTGGTTTTTAATTCACTAGAGATTTCCTAGGATTAAACTATCACTAAGAGTACAGCCCTAATTTAGAACACTGCTGTTGCTGATGTCACTGTTGGCTGGGTACCAGCAGTAGCGAAGGATACAAATGATCAGCTTTCCGCTCCTCAGAGGATACCAGCATCCCCAGCTAAACCTATTCATTGAGCCAGTATGGATTATCCAGTCAGTCAATGCTGTGGGCTCTTTCCTTCCCTGTGCAGCTCCCATTTAACTCAACGAGAGCTGCATATGGAAATCTGTAGGAAAACTGCTTCTCCCCATCCTCCATCTGTATATCTTTATAAATAAATAGACAAATTATGTATCCGCAGGTAAAATAGATATTTTTAAAATTAGTTATTTGGAATGAGAACTTTATCAAGTAAGAATCCCACTCCCATTCCCCCCCCCCAAATATTTTTTCATGTTCTCTCTTAAATTCTTTAACACTTTTTTCTTCCCTAAGTATTGTCCTCTTCCTGACTGTCTTTCACCCCCCCCACCCACCCTCCATGGTTTTTTTGGGAAGCACAAGCTGACATCGCTGTTACTTTACCATCCACTTTTGTGCATTGATGAAATGAGCCCAGCTTTGTGACGATGGTCTGTTAGCTAACTTGTGCCGTCTTTGTAACACAACAAAAAAAAGTCTGGGGTCAAATTCAGTCCTAGGACATTGGTGGGGCACCCATTGACTGATTTTCAGTGCTTGCCTTGTTTGCATCAGAGAGTGGGATTTGCCATAAGGTCCTACAGAAACAGTGGTTATTATGATACATGTATCATATGTATGCATCCGATGAAGTGAGCTGTAGCTCACGAAAGCTTATGCTCAAATAAATTGGTTAGTCTCTAAGATGCTACAAGTACTCCTTTTCTTTTTATGATACATATATTATTTTTGAGACACCATGGTGAATTTAAAAGGTAGATGTCTAGAATTTTGAAAAGCATTCACTGCAAGGCTGGAACAATTGTAGAAGTATGTGAGTTGTGTCAAAAGAACTCTTGCAAATTGAAAGCTGTGTAATGATACTTCGCACCTATACCTTTCAGTCAAAGCTCTCCAAGGCCTGGTCTACACTACGAGTTTGTCAGATTTAGCAGCGTTAAATCCGAATTAACCCTGCACCGGTCCACGCAACGAAGCCATTTTTTCAACACAAAGGGCTCTTAAAACCGATTTCTGTACTCCTCCCAACGAGGGGATTAGTGCTGAAATCGACATCACCATTTTGAATTAGGGTTAGTGAGGATGCAATTCGAAGGTATTGGCCTCCGGGAGCTATCCCACAGTGCACCATTGTGACCGCTCTGGACAGCACTCTGAACTCAGATGCACTGGCCACGTGTACAGGAAAAGCCCCGGTAACTTTTGAATCTCATTTCCTGTTTGACCATGCAGAGCTCATCAGCACAGGTGACCATGCAGAGCTCATCAGCACAGGTGACCATGCAGTCCCAGAATCAAAAAAGAGCTCCAGCATGGACCGAACGGGAGGTACTGGATCCGATTGTTGTCTGGGGAGAGGAATCCGTGCTATTAGAACTACGTTCCAAAAGACAAAATGCCAGAACATTTCAAAAAATCTCAGAGGCCATGAGGGACAGAGGCTACATCAGGGACGCAACACAGTGCCGCGTGAAACTTAAGGAGCTCAGACAAGCGTACCAAAAAACCAAAGAATCAAACGGATGCTCAGGAACAGAGCCCCAGACATGCCGCTTCTATGCTGAGCTACATGCAATTCTAGGGGAGGACCACCACCACTACCCCACCCCTGTCCGTGGACTCCGATGATGGGGTACTCTCCACCATGCCTGAGGATTTTGCAGATGGGGAAGATGAGGAGGAGGAGGAGGAGGATGAGCTTGGGGAGAGCACACAGCACATCATTCTCCCCAACAGCCAGGATCTTTTTATCACCCTGACTGAAATACCCTTCCAACCCAATGAAGCCAGAGAAGGGACCTCTGGTGAGTGTATCTTTTTAAATATAATACATGTTATAAAAGCAAGCGTTTTTTAATGATTAAGTAGCCCTGAGGACTTGGGATGCATTCATGGCCAGTACTGCTACTGGAAAAGTCTGTTAATGTGTCTGGGGATGGAGCAGAAATCCTCCAGTGACATCTCCATGAAGCTCTCCTGGAGGTACTCTAAAAGCTTTTGCAGAAGGTTTCTGGGGAGAGCAGCCTTATTCCATCCTCCATGGTAGGATACTTTACCATGCCATGCTAGTAGCAAGTAATCTGGTATCATTGCATGACAAAGCCTGGCAGAGTATGGTCCTGGTGTTTGCTGGCATTCAAGCAACATCCGTCCTTTATCTCTCTGTGTTATCCTCAGGAGAGTGATATCATTCATGGTAACCTGGTTGAAATAGGGGAATTTAATTAAGGGGACATTCAGAGGTGCCTGTTCCTACTGGGCTGTTTGCCTGTGGCTGAAAAGAAATCCTCCCCGCAATTAGCCACATGGTGGAGGGGATGGGGCATTGGCACTGAGCTGTTCGCGTTTGGCTAGGAGGGATCTTCCCTGATACGAGCTAGTGGTGTGGGGAGGGGAAAAGCGGTCATCCCAGAGAATTGGATGGGGGGAGGGGGTTAGTTTGGTTTCTGCTGCTGCACGTTAACAGGAAAACTGCAGCAATAAATGGCCAACTCAATGGGCTTTGCTTGGTATGGGAAAGGAGGGGGCTGCTGTTATGAAGGTTGCAGAAGCCGAAAGACTATGGCTCACCATGGCTGCCTGCAAGCCGAATTCTGTTGCCCGGCCCTGAGTGTGTGATCTCTAACACCAAAGCCGCAGGCACTCAATATTAGATGCAAAATGCGACCTTGTACCAAAATCACATGCACTATGTAATGTGAATAGTGTTGTTCACCGTGAAAGAGTATAGCCATTGTTCTGTCAAATGTATCTTTTTAAATACTTCACTCCCTTTTTTCTTCCAGCAGCTGCAAATGTTTCAAGCCTCCCTCCTCCGTCCCAAAGGCTATCTCAGATAAGGCGGCAAAAAAAATGCACGCTCGATGAAATGTTCTCTGAGCTCATGCAGTCGTCCGGCACTGACAGAGCTGTGTGGAGGGACACAATAGCAGAGTACAGGACAGTGGCCGATGAATGTGAGGAGAGGTGGCAGCAGGAAGATCAGAGGAGGCATGAGGCAACACTGGGGCTACTACGCGATCAAATGGACATGCTCCGGCGTCTGGTGGAGGTTCATGAATGGTAGCAGGATCACAGACTGCCGCTGCAGCCCCTGCTTAACCATCCTCCCTCCTCCCCAAGTTCCATAGCCACCTCACCCAGATGCCCAAGAGTGTGGGGGGAGAGGCTCTGGGCACCCAACCACTCCACCCCAGTGGACAGCCCAAGCAACAGAAGGCTGTCATTCAACAAGTTTTAAAGTGGCTCTTTCCTTTCCTCCTACCCTCCTCCCACATCCCACCCAGGCTACCTTGTGAGTTATCTCCCTATTTTTATACTCAATTAATAAAGAATACATGTTTTTTAAATGATAGTGACTTTATTTCCTTTGCAAGCAAGCTGCGATCGAAGTGGGGAGGGCAGGTGGCTTACAGGGAATTTAGAGGCAAACAAGGGGGTGGGTTTTCATCAAGGAGAAACAAACAGAAGTGTCACACAGTACCCTGGCCAGTCATGAAACTGGTTTTCAAAGCTTCTGTGATGTGCAGTGCTTCCTGCTGTGCTCTTCTAACCACCCTGGTGTCTGGCTGCGCGTATTCAGCGGCCAGGCAATTTGCATCAACCTCCCACCCCACCATAAATGTCTCCCCCTTACTCTCACAGAGATTGTGGACCACACAGCAAGCAGCAATAACAATAGGAATATTGGTTTCGCTGAGGTCTGAGGTGAGTCAGTAAACTGCACCAGCGACCCTTTAAACGTCCAAATGCACACTCTACCACCATTCTGCACTTGCTCAGCCTATAGTTGAACAGCTCCTTACTACTGTCCAGGGTGCCTGTGTACGGCTTCATGAGCCAGGGCGTTAAGGGGTAGGCTGGGTCCGCAAGGATAACTATAGGCTTTTCAACATCCCCAATGGTTATTTTCTGGTCTGGGAAGTAAATCCCTTCCTGCAGCCATTTAAACAGACTAGAGTTTCTGAAGACGTGAGCGTCATGAACCTTTCCTGGCCATCCCACGTTGATGTTGGCGAAACATCCCTTGTGATCCACCAGTGCTTGCAGAACCATTGAAAAGTACCCCTTGCAGTTTATGTACTGGCTGCCCTGGTGGTCTGGTCCCAAGATAGGGATATGCGTTCCGTCTATAGCCCCATCACAGTTAGGGAATCCCATTGCAGCAAAGCCATCCACTATGACGTGTACATTTCCCAGAGTCACTACCCTTGATAGCAGCAGCTCAGTGATCGCATTGGCTACTTGCATCACAGCAGCCCCCACAGTAGATTTGCCCACTCCAAATTGATTCTCGACTGGCCGGTAGCTGTCTGGCTTTGCAAGCTTCCACAGGGCTATCGCCACTCGCTTCTCAACTGTGGGGCCTGCTCTCATCTTAGTATTCTTGTGCTTCTGGGCAGGGGAAAGCAAGTCACAAAGTTCCATGAAAGTGCCCTTACACATGCAAAAGTTTCGGAGCCACTGGGAATCATCCCAGACCCACAACACTATGCGGTCCCACCAGTCTGTATTTGTTTCCTGGGCCCAGAATCGGTGTTCCACGGCATGAGCCTGCCCCATTAACACAATGATCTCCAAATTTGGGGGGGGGGGAAACACGGTTTTAGAGAAAAGTGTGTTCATGTCCTCATCACCACGCTGCCGTTGCCTCCTCGCCTGGTTTTTCAGGTGCTGGTTCTGCATGAACTGCACGATAATGCGTGAGGTGTTTACAAGGGTCATAACTGCTGTGGTGAGCTGAATGGCCTCCATGCTTGCTGTGCTATGGTGTCTGCTCCTGCTCGGGCAATCCAGGGAAAAGGGCATGAAACGATTGTTTGCCATTGCTCTGATGAAGGGAGGGGCAACCGACAACATGGCTTACAGGGTTGGCGTACAGGGAATTAAAATCAACAAAGGGGGTGGCTTTCCGAGAAACAGAATGGCCCCCTCAAGGATAGAACTCAAAACTGGGTTTAGCAGGCCATTGATTTCATGGAGGGAGGGAGGAGAAAATGAATACAGAACAAATCTGGTCTATTTCTTGTTTTGATCCACCTCATCTATCTTTATACATCTTGCTGGCAGCAGACTGTGCAATACGACTGCTAGCCATCATCATCTCCTGGGTGCTCGGCAGAAGACGGTGCAGTATGACTGCTGGCCATCGTCGTCTCCTGGCTGCTGATTAAAAGATGGTGCAGTATGACTGCCGGAAGGACTGAATCGCCATGAGATGAAACTTAAAAGGGTAATGACCTGGCTGAGTCACTCCCATGTTTGCCCAGGCGCTCCTGACCTCATCGAGGTTGGTTAAAAGAGTACCCTGGAATACGTCAATGACGGCTACCAGTCATACTGCACTGTCTGCTGCCAAAAGGCAATAAGCTACTGCTGTGTAGCAATGCAGTACCGCATCTGCCAGCACCCAGGAGACATACGGTGATGGTTAGCTGAGCGGGCTCCATGCTTGCCGTGGTATGGCATCTGCACGGGTAACCCAAGAAAAAAGATGCAAAATGATTGTCTGCCGTTGCTTTCATGGAGGAAGGGAGGTAAGGGGGGCCTGACGATATGTACATAGCACTACCTGTGACAATGTTTTAGCCCCATCAGGCACTGGGATTTCTACCCAGAATTCCAATGGGTGGCGGAGACTTCAGGAACTGTGGGAAAGCAATGCTCCGGAAGTCGATGGTTGCCTCGGTACTGTGGACGCACTCCGCCGACTACATGCACTTAGAACATTTGTGTGGGGACACACACAATCAACTGTATAAAAACACTTTCTACAAAACCGACTTCTATAAATTCGACCTCATTTCGTAGTGTAGACAAGGCCTAAGTGTGTTACTAATGTTAGTGAATTAGTAATATCTCCTAATACTTTGTGAGATAGGTGTTATCATCCCTGTGCTACAGATGGAAAAACTGGGGCATAGAGAGATCAGATGAGTTACTGTTGTTGTTTATATAGTGCCATAGATGTGCATAACGGTTTAAGGATGAAGATTGGGTCCTGCCTTGCCTAGCTTGTAGTCAAAGTTAGACAAAAGGCAGCAGTTGCTGGCAGACCAAACAGGAAAAGGGGCTGTGAGAAGATAAGAGTTACAGATAGACAATGAGAAATACTTTTTACTGCATTGCCCAAGGACACCCTCCCAGTAAGATGGGAATGGCGAGTGAAGGAGCCCTGCCTCCCTGGTCTCACACATGTCCTAAGCATACGAGGCTATGCTCTCTCCTTGTAATGTGTATATATCTCCTCCCTGCCTGGCATATGGGCTAACTCACTTCATTCACATTTGCATTAGAGCTAGGATAAATACGTCAGCCTCTGCTAAAGATCTTATTTCTGAAGATCTTATCTTAGACTGATATTCCTGATTTTTATGGTGGTGTAACCGACTAGACTCAGATTTCAGAGACTAGACTCAGGTTTCAGAGTGGTAGCCATGTTAGTCTGTATCAGCAAAAACAACGAGGAGTACTTGTGGCACCTTAGAGACTAACAAATGTATCTGAGCATAAGCTTTCATGGGCTAAAACCCATTTCATCAGATGCATCCAGTGGAAAATACAGTAGGAAGATATACACACACACACACACACACAGAACATGGAAAAAATGGGTGTTGCCATACACACTATAATGAGAGGGATCAATTAAGGTGAGCTATTATCAGCAGGAGAAAAAAACCTTTTGTAGTGACTGAGGCTCATAGCTTACTCACTGGAAGATTTAGGTGGTAAAAGAACTGAAAACAAATCACTTTTTTTCATGAGGAGCCAGTGAAAATAAAACATGTTCCACCAGATGACTAATGTAAATCCTAGCTGGTCAATCAATTGAGCTGACCAATAACCTTTGGCCAGGTTTCTTTATTCTGTTTCTAGCCCTAGAACAAAGAACAGATGTAGAGTTTTATTTGTGGAAAAGCCACTTTGCAAGAAAACAAACTAGCAGATCTGTTCAGGAATTTCTCCTGAAACTTTGTCTGTGACTGCAAGGAGGAAATGATAATTGATGAGACATCATGAAGATGTCTACAGAGCTGTTAATGTCTGTTGCCTGCTAAACCCTGAAGCTCCATGATTTTAGTGAGGCATGAAGCTGATGGGTCAGTTGGGGGATAACCTTCTCAATTTATTTTCTTGTCAAGTTGGTTTCAGAGCTGGAGTGTAACCTGATGATTAGCTAGTTGCAACTCTCGGGTGGCATGGCCTTCAAAACAACGGGCTGATCTGTTTCTCTAAATTTGACTCTTACTAAATTAGAAACACGTGACTCTTACTGCATTAGGGTCCTTGACTGGTCAAAAATAGTTTTGTAGGTTGGCTGGAGATAGAGGCAAAATCATCAAAGCTAATAGTTCTGGCATTCTCCCTTAATAGCTCTTGAGCGTTGGCAGAGAGGTGGCTGTCTAGGGAGATTCTTTTCCTTCCTGCCTGTTGTTCCGGCCAGCCCCTTATTGTTCTGTTAAACTTTAAAAATGTGCTTCTGCTGTTGGGGTGTGAGGGGACGAAAAAGCAGCAGAATGAATCATCATAATGTTCATATGCCTTGCGTGATAATCCTGTAATCATATTCCCATGGGTGGACTGCTGAGCCTGTACAGAGCCCAACTGAAGTCAATGGGGGTTTGCATGGGCACAAGAATATTTATGCATGGCTCTGATTTCAGGATCATGGCCTTGCTGAGTAACCCTCTGATCTTATCATTTTATCCTTGTTCTCCCCCTCACACCTGCCTGTTTTTGTTTTTGTTATTGTCTGTCTTGTGTAATGTCAAATTTAGATTGTTTGACTCATGGAATGTGCCTTTAATTGTTTTTGTGAAGTACATAACTAATAATTATTTCATGAACCCAAAAATGTAACTGACAATTCAACTAGATAAATGCTCCTGGTGTGAAAAAATCATTAAAATATAATAGATCTTATTCCAAACAGGATGTTGACTTAGACCAAATGTGGATGGATCTCCTTTGGGAAGATATGAAGGTGTTACTTATACTCGGAAAGTATTCTGAATTGGTTGTGAGCCAGAAGCTTTTGTAATCAACTTTAAGGCAAAGTCCCTTACCTCGTTTCTTTTAAAATTCTTTTATAAAAGATGAGCAAATAAATGTTAAGATTATTTAAATTTTAAGAATATGCTACATGGGCTCATACAGAGGGTGGGCAACGGGGGGAGGTTGAATGGAGGCAGGGGTTTGGGGGGGCAGTCAGGAAGGAGGGGGGGTTGGATGGGGTGGTTGGGGCAGGGCCAGCTCCAAGCACCAGCTTTCCAAGCAGGTGCTTGGGGCAGCATTCCGAATGGGGCGGCAGTCCGTGTCCCGCGGCGGCAATTTGGCGACAGCTCTGCCGCTCTCCCCGGAGCAGCTTTTGGGCGGCAGCCCTGCTGCTCTTCCGGGTGCGGCGGCAATTCGGCGGTGACTGCTTGGGGCGGCAAAATTGGTAGAGCAGCCCCTGGGTGGGGGGCAGTCAGGGGCAGCAGTTCTGGGGGTGGTCAAGGGGACAGGGAGCTGGGTGTGTGTGGATGGGGCTGGGGTCCTGGGGGGCCCTTCAGGGAACGGGGGGTTGGATGGGGCAGGAGTCCCAGGGGTGGGGGGCTGTCAGGGGGCAAGAAGCAAGGGGGGGCACATAGGGGGCAGGGGCACAGCCTGGCACAGCCTCCCCTAACCGGCCCTCCATACAATTTCTGAAACCTGATGTGGCCTTCAGGCCAAAAAGTTTGCCTGCCCCTGACCTAGAATCAACATCATAGGCTTAAATTTAGCCTTGAGTCTAGCCAGACCTATTGGGTCAACACTTGACCATGTGTCATTTTCAGATCTTTCCCTTGGCCTGAATGACTGAAGTTTTGGAATGATTTCTGCTCATTCAGGCATACAACCAGGAAATCCTTAAGCAGTTCACTCATTATTTTCAGTGATATGGGCTTTCTGTCTTTAAACTCTGATTTTTATTTTTTTTTCCTGTTCTTGGCATCTGTGAGGAATCCATGACAGCTGATCTTTGTTCTGACACTTATCTTCATGAGGATAGTGAGCAGCGATAACTCAATAGCAGTAGAATCATAAATGTTATGTTCCCATCTCCCTGTCTTACAAGTGAAGACAAACGTTACTTCATAGATCAACACATCCGTTTTTCAGGAAGTATAAGCCTGTTTTAAATTACAGCTATAGCAAATATAGAAGTGTGATTGTGTGGGAGCAGAAGGTTCCTACAGATCTAGTTAAGTCTATTCAGTACAGTGTTTGAAACAATTATAACCACCTGATCAGAACTGACCTTTCAATGCTGCTATCACAGTGGAATGTATGATTAGATTGTAAGCGTTTCAGGGAAGAGACTGTGTCTTGCTGTGTGTGAACAGAATATAACACAATTGGGCTCCAGTCGTCACCAGGCCCTTTCAGCATTACTGCAAAATAACTGATGAATAATAATCCATGAAATGCAGTTTAGTTGACTTTTTTTTGCAGAGCAATGTATGGACTAGGATTTGGGAGATATGCTGAGCAAGGCTGGTTTACTCTTGTGTTTTCTTGCTGCTTGCTTACCTGTAATAAGAACAGGATTTAGTCTTACCATTGAGATAAATAGTGTTAGAGCTAGAAAAACTACACACGGAAATGCCTAGAGAGAGAGGAAAACATGGAATATGTATTGTGACGGAGTCCGACCAGAAGGATATAAGAGAGTGGTTCTTTTGAGCACTGGGATGTGCTAAAAGCTGCTGCTAAAAGCCCCTCCCCCAGCCTAGGGAAGGGCTACTAAACCCGGAACCCAACTGAGTGCGGGGGACAACAAATGCAATAACGGAAAGGCGTGGGGGTCAAAAGGCCAAAAGTAGGGAACCTGAAGGGGACACCAAGCAGAGAACCCCAGACAGTGCCCACTGCTCCTCGAAGACGTCGAGAGAGCCAGCAGCCGCTGCCCAGGGGAACTCTGCCTGGATGCGTGAACAGATAAAGGAGCGAAAACCAGCCTCACAGTCGCAGGCTGCCCCCCTGCCAACCTCTTCTCCCGGGTGTTACAAATGGCCACCTTGGCCATGGCTAGGAGGAGATTGACGAGGTGGTCCCGCGACTTTGTGGGCTTCGAATCGGGTGTGCATAAATAAACAAGTGTGGGGAAAAGTGGAGCCAGAACCTCAATAAGAGGTTCTGGAGGAGCCAGAAAAGGGGCTGCAGCCTGGCGCACTGAAGATATGCGTGCGCCAGGGTCTCCCTCGTGCCACCAAAGGGACAGGCTTCAGGGACAGAGGTGAACCGCTCCAAGTACACGCCCATGCTCATGGCTCTATGGAGGAGCCGCCAGCCGATATCACCGGTGGGCTGCGGGACTAAGATGGAATATAAACTGGTCCACCGGGTTTCCCCACCCTCCACTTGGCAGAAACCTCTTTCATTTGTATTTGTGAGTGAAATGGTTAATCAGTTTTGTACTGTCTTCTGTTCCACCCAGATTGTATTATTGCTGGATTAGCAATTGCCTACCCAAATGCTAATAATATCTGTTCTCACTCTTTCTTCCTAAGATTACCCCTAAATCCTATCAAGGCCTTTAGCCTTGCTTGGCATTAGCACCCTAGTGACCTACAGCCAAAGCCGGTAGTTGGTGAATAGACAAATTCTCTTTGACATGTTGGAAGAACACAGTGTGCCTTAACAAGATCCATCGTTTCTCATGTTGGTTCTTTATTCTCACAATAACGCCTCTGTCTGGAAATAAACACACAAAGTCGAGCAATCTACATTGACGCTAAACAGAAGGGAGGCTGAGAGTTTGTCACAATGTATCAGTCAGGTCTGTGCTGTGGGTCTGCCAGCATCATGGGAGTGCTGCAAGACTGAAAAAGGTACAAGAGCTGAACCCAAAGAAAATGAGGACAAGGTAGGTACTTACCGATCTTTTCATTCTGTTTAATGGGTCATATCAGATATTTTACGTCTTGTCAAAAACTGGCTCCGCACTCCTGTTAAAACTGCATGTTGGAAAGCAAAAAATAACTCAAGCAGGCAGTTTGTAAAAATTAGCTTTGATGAGGCAATTTACACTTTGCACGTTTTCTCTATCTGTAGGTGCTTTACTCGTATTCAAGGAAGGGTGGATCTAGAATAGTTAAACCTTTTTAATGTGGAAGGTTGTTTAGCACAGGGTGATATTTACATGAAATATTAAAATGTGTTCCTTCTGTTTTGTAATGACCACCCTGCAAATGGGTGGTATAACAAGGAACCTTTACACTCTGTTTTAAATATTGTATATCTGTTTTTTCACTGTATTATGTATTCACTTATCATTTGTTTTGATTTATACATCAACATGTATAATTTGTATACAATATGTACAGAAAAGTCTCTTATGCTTTATGCTCATTTGCCACAATAGAAAAATGGCTATTTCAGTGCATATAATCTTTAAAGGAATGGATTAAAAGCATGTAAGGTTTATATTTATAAAAAGCCTTTGGAAAATAATGCATAGTTTGATAGTTTCACCATACATTGCAATGGCTAGCCCACACTAATCTTTCTGATGTGTATTTTATGTACAACCCTACAAATGGTCTTTCTAATCCTATTGTTAGACTCTTAAGGGATGGTCCAGAGACTTTAAATCTGTTTAGCACACAGACAAAGATAACAGGATATAACCTGAAAGACCTTGAAAGATAGAAACTCTAAGTATTTAGACTTAATCCAAAATATATAACTATTAGTTCAGTGATGTGTGGATGTGCAGTGAAATTGTGCACGGTCTGAAAGTCAATGAATGTGAAAAACACAGTAAAGCCCTGATACTGCTGTCTGCAACCAGCACCACAATATTTAGGCATTATTTAACTAGAACAATTATTTAGAACAAGGGACTGGGCTTCACAAGACCAGGATCCCCTACCCAGGGTTAGATGAAAGCATAGGTACTGTGGGCCATGCCTCGGGTCCCAGTTCCTGGAATCACATGATAAAATCATAATCTGAGCTTTCATCTAAAAGCTTCTACCCTTTTATGTTGTGAACAAAAGTGGGCAGTGTGGAAAGGGGGAGGCTTAGCCTGTCTAAAGGGGAATGGTGCTGAACCACCCATCAGCCCGCTGGCAGCACTTGTGTGGATGGCCCTGGATGCTGTTACTCAAAGGAGGGAGGGGCACATGGCAGTGAGGTCACAGGGGACCTCATTAATCCAGCTCCAACTCTCATTCTGATTCGCTGTGTGAGTATGGGCAAGTCATTTTAACCTATCTGGGCCTCAATTTTTCCTCTGTGAAATGAGGTTAATAAAGGTGGGTAAATGTTATAAAGCCTTTGGAGACTGTCAGATGAAATGCAGTGTAAGCACAAAATATTATTACATTAAAGCTGGTTGGAAAGTGATAAGTATTTTGCACAAAAAATGTCAAAAGATGGAAAGATTTTTGTTTTCACCCCCCAAAAAACCCAACAAATTATTCAGTTTTCAGATTACTTTTGGTTTTTCAAAAGCTTAATTTTAAAAAAACAAAAACAAAACAAACAAACAAACAAAAATCAGCGAAGAAACTAAAATATTTGTTTTTTGAAAACAGGCCACATTTCGTCTGTTTTTGAACTAAATGTTTTGACAAGTTCCATTGCATGTATTGACATTTTTAAACAGAAAAATGCAGGCACTGTATTAAAACTTGAATTTTACCCCGTTTATAGTCAAGGTCAATGTGACATGAGGACAGATGGTTCAGTGATTAGGGTGTACATGTAGAATTTAAGGGATTGGGATTCAATTTCCTGCTTCCCCACAGACTTCGTGTAGGACCATGGACAAGTCACTGAGCCTCTCTGTGCCTCCCTTCCCTATCCATAAAATGGAGATAATAGCATATTGCTACCTCATGGGGGTTTGTGAGGATAAATACTGTGACATTTCACTCCATATTCTTTATGAAAATATGCTTATGATATGAATATGACATAACTGAGATATACTTTATGCAAGATGGCTCATGTACGGTATCATTGGAAAGGTTATGATTTACTGAATGTGATTATCCAATTTCTATGCCTGTATCATTTCTGTATCTGAAGTTAGGAATATTAACTATGTATCTGTATTTCAAATGTGTTACTTTGGGTGTCAACCCCAACGAGCTCTTCAGGTGCAACACTGGAAAAGCCAGACAGGGCTAATGGGCCATTAGCAGAGACCATGGACTGCGAAAGGGCTTAGTCTTCCTGTGGATGCTGGAGACAGCCTATGAGCAATGGCTGCCACAGCCCTGCAGAGACATGGGTCTGAGTCACCTGGTGCTGGATACCTCTCCTCCCCTTTTGGAATGCCAGTGGTTTTCCACTAGAAGACAAAGGGTTCCTGCCTTACACAAGAGCTATATAAGGCAGGGGAGTGACATCATCATGGTCCTCCTCTGCCTTTCCACCCTAAGAGACACTGAAAAAGAGCTGGAAGCAAGAACTGAATGAGGGGGGGGGAAAGAAGGATTGAGCCCAAAAAAGGGTGGAAGGGTGTCCAGCTTGTGAGTAATACTAACTGAGGTTTCAAGCTGGAGACTAGCGTATCTGCCTTTCAAGACTTTCTGTAATCTGCTTGCAACAATATCTAGGTTGAGAAATTACTATTTGTAACCAATTCCTTAAGTGAAACAAGCTTAGTTTGCATGTTTGGTTTTATTTGCTTAGTAATCTGCTTTGTTCTGTTTGCTACCCCTTTAAGCACTTAAAATCTGCCTTTTATAGTTAATAAAATTTGTTTTGTTTCTTCTTAAACCCTGTTTCTGTAACTTCAAATTGCGAGGTGGGTGGAGACGTTGTGCATATCTTCCTCCACATTGAGGGAGGAGGTGGATTTCATAATATACCTTTGGGTCTGCACTCCAAGGGAGGTGGACATCTGAGTGTTGGGACAAATCCCTTAAGCTGAGCCGTCCCAGAACTGATCTCAGTGTCTGTTTTGGTCTGCAGCTGCATGTGGCCCTGCCTGTGTGTTTGCTGGAGGAGGCTTAATGGCCTGGCTCAGCAAGACAGGTAAAAAGGGTCCCAGGCTGGCATAACAGGTGGACTCAGTGGTCTCTCAGCTTGTCAGGTGGCATCCCAAGGGGCCCAACCTGTCATACAAATACATTAAAGACTGTGAGGTGCTCAAGGTCATAGTGATGGGCCCATATAAGTACTTTAGAATAGAAGTGCAAGGCTTTCAACAGGCCATCACCCTGAGGAAGGAGACTCATGATCAAAGAAGACCAAAAATGTAATACTTCATTACTGCTCTTCAACACCATAGGGTAATATAACCTGGCCATCAGAAAAGTGCAGCTCCACAAAACCCCACACTTTAAATTTTAATATATTTATCGGCTCCTCGTACTAAAGATGCAGCATGTGGCCCATTAAATCCTTGCATGCTTTGTTCAGAACAAGGCCTGTAAACATGTGAAACTCAACTCTTGCTTTTAAAGAAACCCGCAATGCAAAACCTCAAACCTAAGTTAATTACACAAGTTTGTGTTAATGCTTGTTCTAACCTGGATCTGAAAGCAGTTGGCCAAGGTAAAAATGCGTACACATGAAGATGACCCCACACAGTGTACACACCTGTTCACATACAAATGGGCAAGGGAAAATATCTGTATTTATCTCAGGTAAAATAGACACTTTCTTAAAAACAGACTGCCTTTAAAATTATTTGGGGACTATCATAATAGGGTGGGTCACTTCTCCTAGTACTTTAGATTCTCAGCTGCTAAACTATACATGCTCTCATATGAGGCTCCCCAGCAATATTTAATTTAGTTCTGTTTCCAGGCTAATGAGCTTCAGAAATCTTTCTTTTAGGGTTTTCTGTAGTGTCCATTACTGTAGGTATCATAAGTGCTTCCCAATTAGATTTGATCTGCCTAGTGAGATCCCTAATGGACTTCAAGGAGTCTTCTGCTAATCCCCCTCACCTGGCTGAAAAACTTCAGCTCTAAAAACCTCTGAAAATCAATCTGGATCCAAACTTAATGACTCAAAGCCACTGTAGTTTAGATCTCCCTGGGTGCTAGGATCCCAGCAAAACAGTCTCGTACATAGTAGCACTTTTTCAGACCTTTAGCAGTTGAGACTGAAGCTCCCCGTCCTTAATGCAGATAAGCTCTTCTCATCAGGGAGTGGTGGTGACGTCCACTTCCTCCTGAGAATCACAGGAAAATGTGAAGGAATGAGTACTCCTCAGTAATCTACACAGCATATGGGCACTAGAAGGGATTCTGCAGGCTGATTGCCACCCTACTGATAGGAGCAGGGGAAGCCTGATCGGCCAGATCCTATGGAAGTGTTGTGAGGGTTTGGAAGGAAAGGGTGAAAAAGAAACACAAAGGAACATGTTAGAGGAAGGAGGGACTGGAGGAACATGCAGAGAGGAGGACAGATGGTTGGAGGGAGAATGAAGGAAGAAGCAGGGAAGGTGCTTGAGGGAAGTATTTAACAGAGAAGGGACAGACTTGGCTAAAGGAAAAATAAGAAAGCTAGAATGAGGAAATAAAAGATACAGAGATAAAACAAAAAGAAAAGGAGTACTTGTGGCACCTTAGAGACTAACCAATTTATTTGAGCATGAGCTTTCGTGAGCTACAGCTCACTTCATCAGATGCATACCGTGGAAACTGTAGCAGACTTTATATATACACAGAGAATATGAAACAATACCTCCTCCCACCCCACTGTCCTGCTGGTAATAGCTTGATAGAGATAAAACAAATGAATATGAGAGAAAGAGAGTGACTTACTCCAAAAGGAAAAATGAGCTGCTAAAGAGAAAAAAGTCTTCTCAGCATGACAGAAGGATGAAAAAATAAAACTATAAATTACTCAACATTATAAAAGGTCTGAAGGAAAACACAGATCCTGAAAAAGAAGCAGAGAAAGAAAGAGAGCGAGCATACTACAGAAGGAAAGAAAAAGTGAACTTCAAATCAAAATACAAAACATACCTAAGTTAATTTTTAACATTGGTTAATGGAAAGTTTGCTGCTCAGATGTTACGATAAAAATATATACTTTTTTTCATGAGAAGTAAATTCACTGAGACAATGATTTATTGATAATAGTTTTCACTTACAGAGTCCACTTCTTCCTTCTTATCAGTCCAAATAATTACGTAAGGAGGAGGGGAATGATTAATCGAGTCCCTAGAGTCTGCCATCCAAAGTCCATAATTATGAAACTTTCTGCCTACATGTAAGGGTTTAATTGTAAAGCATAGACAAAAATCTTTGTAATGATTTTTAACTTTTTTTAAGCATAGCATTTAATTTTTCCCACCCTTACTTATTGCTACAACATAAAGTGCCCGCTGGGAAATCATGGGAAAGACCATGGGATGGAGGAGAGTAACCCCTAAGGGAAAATATGTCTTAAATTAAACTGAACTCCTCAGATAGATGATAGATAGTTTGTCCCATCCAACCGTTAATGGCCAATAAGAAGAGCACAAGGAAATATAAATGCCCGTCCTACTCTCCACATAGAGTGTGTCTATACATGCAAATTCACCAGCATTTCTGTAATGGCTTTCTTCATCTCTAGTTATAGGCCACACTTTTTTCCAGTACACAGATTTATTTCCCTTTCATTTCAAAGATCAGTTGCTTTACTCAGCTATCTGAGGTGCTTCAGACTAAGAGATTCTCATAGATTAGTTTCTATGAAGCTTAAACCTCTTAGTGTAATTGCTTCTAAAAATACCTTCTTGAAACTAGAGTTGAAGTATAATTTAATAGAGTTTTTTAAAAAAGTCCAGAGGGAAAGCTGCAGTCTTGTACTTCATATATACTGTAAGATGTGATTGTTTGCCTCCTTAAAGTATTTTCTTCTTTTGGTATTTTTATCCCAGACTCCGTAATGCATCTCTGTAATTTATGCAAAGCAGCTTACTTATTGGCCAAGGAAGAACTACATGTTTGCTATTTTGTATAACAGTTTGTAAAGGGTATGTTAATTTTTCTTTTGTATAGCTGCACACAGTTTTCATCCCAGTTCTCTGAAGCAGAAAATCCTGTCTTGGGCACTTTGTTACCTTATTTCTAAATATTTATTTCAAAACTCTCAGGAAATGGTAAGAAAAACAAACAAAATGGGCAGAGAGCAGAACAGTGATTATAAGGGAACTGTGAAGATATTATACAATGTGACAGTGAATCTGGGCAAAATTAAAGCAAAATTAGTAGATTTTCTAGAGGTAATGCCTTCTAGAAGGTCAAAATTACCAGTAAGTCAAGTGCAACAGTTATTTGTTTCAGTTGTTCCAGACATTTTCTGAGTAGCTCTGGTGGTGAGAGCCTTGACTGTGACTTGACCAGGTTAGAAGAAAGCACTATACTCGTTCCTATGTCTAAAGCACCAAACTCAATGGGCGATCTGGAATATTGCCCCAATAATAATCGCAAGCCTTGCAGTTGTTCCTCTTTTTATATTTTTGCACACAGCTCATTCTCTATCATCAAGTCAAACATATATAAGTCTCTTCCATGGAGAAACATATCATAGGCATTCCTTCCCGATGAACAAACAAGTCATGCAGTACAGTGTGCCTGCATTGCAGTGCATGTCATTTTGCATTTGGTATGAAGTAAAGAATGCAGTTTAGGAGTCAGAAGATTTGCTTCTGACTTTCTGTGCAGCCTTGGGCCTTGAGTTGCCCAAGGCTCAATATTCAAAAATCACTTCTAATTTTGAGTGCTTCAGTTTTTGGGCACCAGATTTAGACACTCTGGCGTCCTATTTTCAAAGGTGCTGAACACCCACAGCTCTCCTAGTGTCTTGTAGGTGGTGACCAGCACTTTGAAATGGTTTTGGTTTCAATGGATGGGGAGCCAGCAGAAGTCCCAGAGCACTGATATAATGGGTTATAATTATTTCTTGCTCAGAAGACAGGCTGTTGGGATCTGAGTGAGTCTCTTCAAGAGCCTCTAGGGAGAGACAGTAGCAGTAGTCCAGCCTGGAGGTGACTAAAGCATAGATTACAGTGCCCTCATCCAAAAAGAATGGGTGCAACTTCCTGGCTAATTACTAGCTAGATGTGGGAAAAAAGGCATTCCTCACTACTGTTGCTACAGATTCATATATTCCAAGGCCAGCAGAGACCACTGTGATCATCTAGTCTGACCTCCTATATAATACAGAGCATAGAGAGCCCCAAAAATAATTCCTGAGGTATTTCCTATGGGTCACTTGCTGGAGGATTCTCTGCACCTTGAAGTCTTTAAACCATGATTTGAGGATTTAAATTGTTCAGACATAGGTGAGAGGTTTGCAGGAGTGGGTGGATGAGATTCTGTGGCCTGCGTTGTGCAGAAGGTCAGATTAGATGATCATAATGGTCCCTTCTGACAAAGTCTATGAGTCTATGAGAAAAATATCCAATCTGGATTTAAAAATTGTCAGTGGTAAAGAATCCTTCACAACCATGGGTAAATTGTTCCAGTGGTTAAATACTCTCACATTAAGAATTAATGCCTTATTTCCAGTCTGAATATGTCTAGCTTCAACTTCAGTCTTTGGATCATGTCATACCTTTCTCTGCTAGACAGACAAGCCCATTATTAAATATTTGTTCCCCATTGTGACAATCAGGGTCCAGACTCCCCATGGGGAGAACAGGGTGCCTCAACCCCTCAATATAAACATCTGAATCAACCAGTTTATACAATGTTATTGTGTCTATGTATATATCTGGTAAGGTCTTTTATGAAAGCTTGTAATGTTCTGAACTTAATGGTCATTAGGAGGTGATGGTTATGAATGTGTGTGTAGAACATTGTAATTGTAAGTAGGGTGCAACTGCAGCATCACCTCACAATGGGTGAAGTAATCAGGGAGGGTCACCTCCCAGGCTAGTTATTCACATGAAACTAATTGCAAGCCTAGCATTGTACAACCTAGGGGAAGACAGGGGACCACTGAAGTGTATGGAAAAACATTGAAACTAAAAAGAAAATGCTAGTCTTTGAAAATTAAGGAAGGAAGGAGTTCCCACCACGCTGTGTAGACATGAATTACCCAACTGAGAGAAAGTGGCAGGTGGGGAAAACCTGCAAACCCTGCTAAAAGGAAAGAGGGTTTGAAGTAAAGACTGTCCAGAAATGAGGGCCAGCACTGAAGCAGGGTGCTGTCTGTGAAAGGCTGAATCCCCTCTAGGACAGAGGGTCCTCTCAGAAACTGTTCAGAGGCAATAGGTAACTTGTATTAGAAAACAGAATTTAACTAATATAGAAGTGTAAAGCCCAAGAGTCTTTATGTTTATTTTCTGTGTAACTTTTATGTCGTTGCTTTTCCTCACTATTCCACCTTGGAATCTATGATTTTTCTATTAAATAAACATTTGTTTATTTCTACCGCAAGCAGGTCTCTGGTGTGCAACCTGTGTGAAGTGTGTGTCAAAGTGAACTGATGATTGGAGGCAGGTTTCACTTCTTCTGAGGTGAGGAAAAGTTCAAGTGTCTGGTACTAAGAACTTGGGGAGAGGGATTTGGGGATACCCTTGATTGGAGAGGGCTGCTTAAATCACCCTTCAAGGAATAACTAGGCTGCTGGAAGCCAAGGTTAAGACCTTTATGCTTGTAGGCTGGCTACTGGTGTCAGAGCTCTGAGCCACAGCAGCATAGCATTAAGGCACCCAAAGTTGGAAGGCAAGTGGTGACAGAACCCCTTACTCGTCTGATGATCCCCAAAATGTCATAGTACTCAAAACGGCATATCCGTATAGATATAAATAGACTGTTATCAAGTCACCCCTTAATCTTCTCCTTGTTAAGCTTAATAGATTGAGCTCCTTGAGCCTATCACTGTTAGGTTTGTTTTCTAATCCTTTAATCATTCTCATGGCTCTTGTCCGAACCCTCTCCAATCTCTCAATATCCTTCTTAAATTGTGGGTCCCAGAACTGGACACAATATTCCAGCAACAGTTGCACCAGTGCCAAACACAGAGGTAAAATAACCTCTCTATTTCTTATTGAGATTCCCCTGTTTATGCATCCCAGGATCTCATTAGCGCTTTTGGCCACAGCATCTCACTGGGAGTTCATAATCAGCTGATTATCCACCCTCAGCCCCACATCTTTTTCAGCGTCACTGCTTCCCAGGATAGAGTCTCCCATCCTGTACCCAATCTACATGAGCCCAGCTCAAAACCAGGGTTCTTTTCCCATTTAGAATTATTTTAGTAATTACAGATGGGAAATAGGTTTCAGAGTAGCAGCCGTGTTAGTCTGTATTCGCAAAAAGAAAAGGAGTACTTGTGGCACCTTAGAGACTAACCAATTTATTTGAGCATAAGCTTTCGTGAGCTACAGCTCACTTCATCGGATGCACTGGATGCATCAGAAATAGTGGTTTGGTGCTGGCAGACCAGCCTTAGGATTTATGGGGCCCTATGCAGTATTATTAAACTGGTGCCCCTATGCCCGACAGCAGCTTGGTCTCGCATGTGTATTTTAGAAAGGGGTGGGTCTTTTGAAGGATTTATTTAAAAAACTATATGTCTGAAGATCCAAGCATCTAAGACTAAAGATGAATACTCAGACTGTGCATCTTAAAATCTATGCAAGGATTTTTTAGAGATGTGATTTTATAATCTTCAGCAACACACTAATGAAATATTTTTAAAGCAAATTTTAAACTAAGGTCCTGTGGACTAACATGTTCTGAGTAAATATTACAATAATGCACAACTGGTTTTGTCAATAAATTCAGAAACTGACAGTATATACCTGGGGGTTGGCAAATGCCTGTTAAATGGCCTCATTACCAATTGAATGGCTCTTTAACAGTTTCAGTGTTGTGCTAATAGGTCTGGCAGGCTGGAAGGCCTTTTCACTTTTAAGTACTAGATCCCCTCCAGAGGAAGATTCACCAGTCTGCAGCAGCCAGCTGTGGGAGCCTG